TAAACTTAATTACAAAAATAGCAAAAAAGCAATCATGCATGTGGTATGACGTTCTCCTCGCTCGTCATAGGTTTCCATGCAATCGAGAGGGATCATATTAAGAGGCGATTCACTGGGATTTTTTTGCTGATGAAAATGAACAAAATCTCTCATRTGCACTATTTAAATGATGRTGCTTCTAAAGCATGAATCAYTAGACATATTCTGATTGTCAATATTAGAACATATAACTTTGAACGAAAGCAATTTTGTTTTTATTTTTTTCTCCTCTTCCAATCCTTTCTTATAGTTTCTTTAGAATGTCTTATCCGACTACATACAAAGCCTGGGACTGTAGCATACTTTAGATACCATGCATCCAGCCGTAAAAATGGAGACTGCATGATGGAAACATACATTGTCTTCACATCAGGTTCACACAAAGAGAGCAGGAATTGTTATGTCAATCATCGGTTTTCAAAAATATCGAGCAACTATATATTCTACTTGTTTTTTGTTGAGAGATTTCCATCCAACATCCTCTTCGGTCCAGTCGCGTATACAGTACACCGTTTTAACTCCAGTCTAAACGTCTTGATTTAAAAGTAGAAGGACGGCGCCAGCAAAAACTTCGTAGTTGTTCGTAGTAGTATAGATACAGGCATCACTTTAGGTGCTATGTACAGGAACGACTCAGTTTATCATGCATGTTCTCGTGTGTTTGAAGGATCGCCATGGCGAAGGACACTTGTTACCAACAATGGATAAATCACAAGATTACAAGYTCATCTCAGGATCCGAAAAGGATGGAAAAACCATTTTAAAATTCTCAAGAAAAGTTGATACTTGTGACAACGACGATCTGAAAATCGAGGTAAGTTATAGACGTTCACGGCAAACGACAGAAAGGATAACGTGACCTTGTGGGAGGTTTACCGTTACAGTTTCAACGCGAGAGTGGGTTATTTTGTGGTTGCCATAATCGTGAAAAGTTGCTCCTTCAAATGACTGCAACGGGAAACTACCCCGTTATACAGTCAGTGTGTGCGTTAGGCCTTGCGTTTTTCTCCGCGGTTCCTCTCTCTCTATATATATCTCACTCAGATTCTGACGCCCCCATCTTTTTCCCAGTGGGAAAGAGAGGGGAGGTCAAAATCTGGGAGAGAGAGGGGGATTACAATGTTTATTCACTATATAAACAATTATCGGCATGTTCATGGCTTTCAAGTGATTGAAGTTCTGTTTCAACAGGAAGGAACAACAAAGCTGATCTTTGCTTACAGCGAACAAGACCCCATTTCAGAAAATAAAATGACTAAACATACATACAAATTCGCACGCAGTATGCTGCTGTTGACGTTCGGAAAGAAACCTCGACCTGATCCATCGTGGAAAACGTTTGATATATTGATGAATAACGTAAGTACAAATTGATCAGCGTAAGTTACGCAAAGCATTATAACGTATGGTTACTGTGTACGTACTGCGACGTAGTGAGTCTTACGCAAGTGATGCTTACTKTACACGTTGTAATGATTTTATAGTAAATAACAGGTGAATGAATTAGTAASTATCAGAAAAACAACGTGCGAATCATTAGCATATGACGTTCAAGTGCGTTGGAAACACGTGTAACGTTCAAATGCARTATAGACGTAAGTACAGATGAATGTGTATAATAAGTATAAGAATTGACGTAAGTACGTACGAATGAGTAACGCGTCTATAAACAAGCAAAACGCACTATTTACTTTCAGATAACAATACCATCTGTAGCTACAACGTATTGGTGCAGGATTTTAAAGCTTCCAGACTTTGGAAAGAAGACTCATATCGTCAGAGTAAGTTTCAAAGATGCCGGCGCAACTAGTAATTTATTTTTTTCTTAATTTATACATAGGAAAACTAATAGGTTTGAATAAGTTAAAAATAGCAAAACTCTCCTTGTAGATTTGYTATGAGTCAATGATAAAATATAAATTGTATAAAAAAAGAGTGTACAGTGGTAATGATATTTTTTTGKGTGCACCCCATACTGAGTGCCACRCACCCCTCCCTGAGGAAAATCCTGGATCCGCCCCTGGTGTGGGGAAGTTAGCTTGGATAAACAAAGTGAATTAGTTATATTAAAATAGAAAATCTTTATTTTTATGGCAAATGTTTCACTACACTAGAAATACYACACCATAATAAAGGTAATATCACCATCGACAAGATACCGCCAAGAACTTGAGGAAGGCTACTTTTATAAAAAGAAGAAAAAGAGCATTTTATAAAAAAGATATACTATCACAAAATCCTATAAGTGATTATTCTCAAACAGTCAAATTGTTTACCAGCTCCTTTTTTCGTTTTTCAGTTTGACCCAATCATTCAAGCAGGAAACGAGGGCTTCGTCCACCATTTTGTGATATCTGATTGCGTTGCAAATATATCCACCCACTTGCATAACTTTACAGGMAATTGCTATGACTACAGAAATATGCCCGGGGAAGTACTGAACTGCAGACGTCGATCTGCTAACTTTGCAGGTTGGGGAGTAGGAGCTGGGGTAAGGTGACAGTGTTGTGGAGAATTCCAAAGAGTTCTCTTTTGCTCTTTCACCAAAAGAAAAGTTATAAAAATAGTTTTAAAGGCGTCTCAATTAATAGTTGGGCTGCCTATGCTTTGTTGTGAGAGTAATGACTGGTGTAACACCGCGGGATGTTCGATGACGTAGCTCTATGCTTTGATGTGTCATGTACTGTATCATAATACTTTAGCTGTGGACTATTCTCTCAATGACAATCTTTGATGGATTTATTCATTATATAATATATTATATTAGTAAGAAACTTACACTTCTAATTAACTATTTTTCTCAAGCCATTTGTATTTCCTGGAAATGTCGGTTATCCCGTGGGTACCCCTGGACAGGTGTTCGTACTGGAAATTCACTATGATAACCCGCAGAGAATTGCAGGTAATTCATACTGATTCACAGGTTACCAAAGCACAGCGCAACTCCATAGATGAACACTTACATGAACACTTATTACATTGTTCTTGGTTTTGCGCCATAACCMSAGTTCTTATATTTCCAGGTCAAAAGGATAATTCAGGAGCGAGGTTTTACTACACATCAAAGGTACGACGATACGATGCTGGGTCAATATCTGTAGGTCCAGATATCAACCCATGGATGGTTATCCCACCAAAGCAAGAAAACTGGATCACTACGGGGTATTGCAAAAAGCAATGCACTCAAAAGGTGTGTCTTTGAAGTGAGGGGGATTATGGGGGCTGGGGTGAGGTACTGAGTGAGGTAGAGAATCTGGTTTTGTAACGTTGTATTAGGATATGACATATGGATATATATTTGAACAATTTCAGCTTCTTGARAGCACTGATATTCCTGGAAAAGGAATCAAGATAATTGCGTCCTTTTTACATACCCATTTAGCAGGTTTGTACTGGACTGCAAAGCATTTAAAACACTTAGTGTAAGGATATGTAAGGTATTATGATAAACTCAAGTTAGATGACAAGGACTTGTCATCTATAAAATCTATACTATTTTTAGGTCGTGCAATTTGGACAAAACACGTGAGAAACGGAAAACAGCTGCCAGACATAGCAAGAGACAATTACTACGACTTCAACTTCCAGGTAAATGTAGTCGAACACTTGTTCGCATCTGTTTCGATCGTTAATGATTCATATAAAGAGTGAAATAATGAGATCAGAGTGGATCCAGACTGCTGAGTAACGGTCCTCCCTAGTCCTCTAAGGGCCGCAATGCAGGCTAAATGGATGCGTTTATAACGTTGTTGTTAAAGCAATTAAAACAAACACTGTTCCTTTTTGTAGGAAATGCAAATACCRAAAAAGGAAATCCATTTTAAGCCGGTGGGTTGTATGTAATACATGTATATAGCCAGAGTGCAAACATCTCGGGAACCCAGGCGTAACCTTCTGACGCTCGTCACTCACTCCCAGAAATAGGAACATAATAACGAYAGAAGATTACGCCTGGGTTCCCGAGGTGGTCCCTTTATGGCAACACCCATTTAATAACGTGATCATTGCTTGAGCCTGTGTTGTCGCGCGGTATTTGAAATATGTCAGTTAATTAAGGACAAAATTCGTCTCTAAATTCATTTTCTATATCATGTTCTGTTCATATTCCTTGCTTTTCATAGGGAGACGAGATGATTCATCAATGTCGTTACAACACAATGAATCGTGATAAAATCACCTATGTGAGTATTCAACTATAGACTTCGATACTTGTACGGCCGCCATCTTGAATTAGGAGGAAATTATGATGGGATGTCCAGGATTARGGGTAAAGGTAAAATTAAAACCAGTCCATTTAGCATAGCTGGTATCCAGAGCAGGTCTCCACATGCTGTTAAATAAAATAGTACTGAAAAATTACAGTTTAGATAATTTCGTGAATCAAAATTTAAATTGCAATACTTGGCAATAGACCGTTACTCTACCCGTACACGTCGTTATTTTGTGAGTGCCTCATTTTAAAACTGCTAGTTTACAACAGCCCGGATATATAGAAGCATCGACCACAAAAAATCGTTACAAGTGTGGATTTTTCTCTATTGTTTTTTTTTTTTTTTTTTTTTTTTCAGCTGGTTTGCACTGCTGATCAAAAGTTCAAAAGTCTAAAATTTTCACTTTTTTCAAATATCAGGGCTCAGCGGGTACACAAGATGAAATGTGCGTCAACTTCATTACATACTATCCTCGAATCGATAATTGGAAGGAATGTTTCAGCACAAATTACGCTGGACCTTATAAATTCCTGGGCAAGTATTTCCCGTAAGTAAGACTATCATGTGACATGTCTAAATTATCTTATTCAATAAAACCCACACCCTTAATCACCAGGCTGTAAGAATGAAGACTAAAGCGCCGATTACACGAGCAATTTTTCCTTGACAAGGAAAAATTGCTCGTGTAAATGGGGCAAAATTGAAAATTTTTTCTTGTCAAGGAAAAGCCAACATGTTCGCTTTTCCTTGACAAGGAAAAATTGTTAAGGAAGAAATCATTTTTGCTCGTGTAAATGACAACAAGGAAAATGTGGCAAGGAAAAATTGTCAAGGAAAACTTGTTGACTATTCACACGGGCAATTTTTCCTTGTCAAGGAAAACTTGTTCTTCGTTTACACGAGCAAAGAAACATTGTCAAGGAGGAATTGTCAAGGAAAACTTGTTGACCATTCACACGGGCAATTTTTCCTTGTCAAGGAAAACTTGTTCTTCGTTTACACGAGCAAAGAAACATTGTCAAGGAGTGAATTGTCAATTCCTTGAAAGAAAACTTGTTGACCATTTACACGGACAATTTTTCCTTGTCAAGAAACTTGTCAAGGAAAAATTGCTCGTGTAAACGGCGCTTAAGGCCCTGTTCAAMATGAGATAGGATGTCCCTACGTGTAGGGCTAACTCCTTTGTTTTCTTCCCTGGAGGATTGAAAACAAAGAGTTTGGCTCTACACCTTGGGGCACCCTATTTCATGTAAACAGGGCCTAAGCTATCGGACGTGACACAACATGCACTAGGTTTAMGCCTTTCTTGATCTACTACTGTCCATCGCAGACTGCTCCTGGGGTCCGGAATTAAAATCAAAACTTCCTCACTGTCATCTGCAACAGAGGCTACTATAATTCATACTAATATATCGTACTTTGATTTTATTAGGAATTCACAAAATGCGTCATCGATAAATGTGAATCCGCTGATTTCCATAAACCCMAAATGGACAGAAAAAATGGTGCAAGATTTGAAGGAATTCTATGAGAATGAAACGCACGTGTCTACATGCAGCAACAACAAAAGACAAACTCTTGCTGTAAGAGAT